TGCGGAACGAACGCGCGTGTCGGGGCACGGCGCGACGCGCCCTCGGGACGGGGACACTACGAACACCCTTTCCAAATCAACGATTCTCAATCCAACTTGTTGGTCCGTACGTCGTTGACTAACCCTGTAGAGGTATAGAACCGAGCCCGAGGAAGGAATTAGAGACGACGACAGAACAGACTTGGAAGCGGAACTTTGGTTAAGATTCACTTATTACTCTAATAAATAAAACTTACGGTAACTGCAATATCGATTATTACTATGATGGTAGCGGTGTAATGTTAAATAGAGCCACTTCACCGATTACAATCTCCTAACGGTTACGTATATAACATTAATTTTAACAAGAATCCTATACTATGTAAAGAACAACGATCACATGCATAATATAGTTTGCAACAAAAATATAAAACATTGAGGTTGTCATTAGCGAGGTGGCCCCGAGTAGAACCGACAGAGCGGACGTACGGGGGAGATAGAAGACAGGGATCACCAAGACTTGTGGCTGTGGAATCTTAAGGAAAGGGAGTAAGAGATGCACCAAAGTCACTGTTATGAAGTCCATAAATCTCATAAATCTAACGGTTACATGTTAATAAAATACATTTAAACCAAATAATTAAAAAGCTTGACACAGATGTTGCTGATGTGCCCGTAGCCGGCAGCGGCGTCGCCCGCGACCTGCAAACAAATTATATTGTTATACTATGCACAGGTACTATTACTTACAGAGACAGAATCATTACACTACACACTACATATCTTAGAATCCATAGAAGTTTGTATGATCAAAACAAATAATCATATCGACGGGTACATAAGACTATTTGTTTCAACCGCCATTTTAGGCAATAATGACTTACATGTAATATATTCAGAATAAGTGATTTTTCTGCGTCGTTAAAAAATAATGAACTATGCAGAATTATAGTAATTTCATCTAAGACCCGTCTGAAAATCTTTCAATTTAAATTATTTTCAGAACATGTTTTATGCTTTTTATTTCTAAAAACTTTAAAAGGCTCTCCTGAACATTTACCCTAATGGCGCTTAAAACAAATAGCCTTTCCCCCATCGACATGCGATAGGTGTACTCAGGGGGGTGGTTGAGAGCTGGCGAAAATACTTTTACAACTACTTAGTCCCCTTGATCATCGGCTCTGGACGTTCTAGACAACAACATTTTATAATATTACGTCTAATGAATGTACTCACTGATCGTGTGGCGTGTTTGTGCTATATGGGGTGGTGGGTTGCGGGCTTATACGTCCGCGTACTTGGACAGCTTCTCGCGGAGGATATGGTTCTCCTTCTTCAGCAGTTCCACTTCTTGCCGTAGCCCCATGTTCTGTAACGTTACGATACACGTATTAAACACAATATTCAAGGCAGCGATCAAGTTTTAGTATTTAAAAAAGTTATATATCGAAATTCATCAAAAGCTAATGATGAAGAGGGGTGACAAATTCGTTATTTTTAATGATTTCTTTAGTATTTTTTTTAATAATTTCTAACCACTCCATATTTCACCGTCCAATTAAACTTGTATCCTTTACGACAATAGCCAAATGCAGGATTCGAATGCACTTTATCAGCAGTTAAGGAGATAGTTTACATTTCCCGATACAACGCGGCTATAGTCTAACTCTAAGTCTCACCTCCTTCTCAAGATAGCCGGCGCGCAGAGCGATCTGGTTCTCTTTCATGCGGCGCGCGTCGCGAGAACGCTTGGCGGCCATGTTGTTCTTTCGCCGGCGGGCCCAGTACTTGTCATCTTTCAGGTCATCGGGCACGAACTGCCGACGACGTCGATATGGGGTTAACACGCCGCGCCACTTACTCATACCACCCTTCACCCATCAGTGAAATATTACACGCAAGTTATGACGGACCGTGGGAGGAGGAGCCTTCCACTTAACAGATCCGTTTTAACACGTGCGCGCAAACGCGAAACAAAAACTCACATATTTACGTACAGTCAAAGAATTAAATCGTACTACTTAGGTTCTTCGTATACAAGATAATGTAAATCTTTGCAACTAAAACACCATCTTTTCGTATAGAGCAGGTGTATGGGCATGTTGAGGGCCAAATGTTGCCGAGCAAATACGTTCGTGGGCCGCAACATCAAAGAATTTGATGTTTGCCGCCTCAGTCTCTTCCTGAGTATAAGTACCTATTGTAACTTTTTTAAATTATTTTTTTTTCAAAAGGCTTCGCTGTGTGAATCATATCTTACAGCGAGCCGGGTGCGGCACGCGGGCAGGTTCTTGCCTATTTATGATCTAGAGTATCACATAGCGCGTTGATTGTCGCGAGTTATCTATTCTGTCAGCGGCAGCTTCTCCCACGACGATCTTGACAAATAGGTTGAGAGCGATTGCCTTACAATGATAGTTAGGTGACGATGGGCGCCTTTGCACCAAGCTCTATGTCATCGTATCTCTAAGACAGGTCAGGTAATGTTAGGTGTCGAAAATATAAAGCGCCTTGTATTCGTAGGGCTTAGGAACTACAACTATACACGTTATAATGCATATGCTGTAAGAAGTTTACGACTTAATTATATGTCAGCGTCAGACATACTACCAATATGGAAAATAAATGTCCTCGACTGTACATATATCGAGCATATTGACTTTCAGTAGGAATATATTATAACGAGTTCATTATTCGCGTTTGCGTGCTTCAGTATTTATGAACCAATGTAATATTTGTGAAATATAAGCATATCATGAAAACGTTGATATTCTAACAAACAATTCCTGCAACAAATTTATCCGACGTCTTACTGTAAAGGGAATCATTGTGATGCAATCGGAGAAGTAATAAAAGATGTTTGTCAAGTCAACCAAACCGCAGTTCGCAAGCATGGTTGACTAAGACGTAGTCGCCTCTAATTTAGGGTAGACTCCGAGCTCCTCTGTGGGTACTTAAAGTGAGCTGATGATAATTATGAAACAATTTGGTGGCGCAAGTAAATAATATAACCACTGACATTCCCTTTTTTAATAAAAACCTCTATTCATTCACAAGCCATGCAGATTTATTTCATTATATTTTCTTTTAAAAATAAATGAACCTTAAGTCGAGAAATATGTTGCAAAAATTGTTAGTTAAATAACTGGAAATATACCTTTTACTCTAAAACCGTAAGCCTTAAGTGAAATACTTAGTGATCATTGTTTACTTAAGTATTTGTTAATGTGTATTTTAACTATGCATTACTTAAAAAATGAGTTAGTAATTATTGAAGAAGCAAATAATCAGTGTGATGATAATCAGAAAATTTATCTTCACGAATGATATTTCGATTGACAAGTAGATGCATTACCATGAGTTCCCTTAGATGAAAACATTCACATGAAACATTTTAGATACAATTACCAACGTATATTTTACTCTTTCTGAAAAAATGGAGTCCACAATATGTTTTTTTGTGAATGATCGATTAATGCGAACTCGAGGTAACATGATGTTAGAGTAAAACAAAAAATTGTGTTATTTACAGGTTTAGTTTAAATTTGGAAAAGCGTTAGATAAGCTTTTATTGTGCATTTTGTGTTCATATGTATGGTGTGGGTTTATCTAAAAAAATGTATTCTAATATTTTTTTAATCAGTTTCATTGTTATCAAATGTTTCTGTACGACAAAAAATATTTTGGTCTATTAAAAAGCCTTAATTAAAAGATATTAGAGTTTTTCAAACTGTCATTATATACGAAGGTCGATATAGTCGAGTAAGAATATATTACATATTTTATTTAGCTTTCAAATTTAGTTAAAGGTACTGATTTTAAACAACATACTAATATTGTTTGCCATATCTACAAAAATACTGGTAAAGTAAATCTGAATGTGGGAACATTTACGTTTAGTAATGGTATGAAAACCGTTGGTTTAGTGATTGATATTTACAAATAAGTTCCAGTGTTATAAACCCTAACAGACGCACTCAAAACCGTTAGTTTATCTATGCTAAAAGGATCCAGTTAAGTTTGAGTGCAGATGTAACGTGATAATACTTAAATAAAAATTGGAATCCTACACATTCTAGCATGTAAGAGTGTATTTTGTCAGTGTGTGTGTTGAGGTTACGTGACGCCGCACCCCGCAGGCTGTTTGCAGCATGCTGCTAGGAATGATCAGCGCACTAACATCATTTACCTGTTTCCGGGACTTCTTGATCATCGGCTGCGGCTTTAGCTCCTCGTCGGAGAAGGCTCGCGTTCGTGGATCGAAGTCACGGCCGGACGATGCCATAGAGAATGCTGGAAATTGAATTTTCACTACGTTAGTCGACTGCAATGTTACTTTGTGATAGAATTTTATAGTGGATGCAATTGATACCAAATTTTATTGACTTGTAAGCAAAACTCATTTTGGTGTTTGCAGATGGCTTGTTTATTTTAACATCCCTATATCCCTCTCATATCTTTGGTATCGCCGTTCCCCTTTCAAAAGATACCCTGCCTTTTGGGGGAAAGACAAGGTTATGTGAGATTCCTACTCACTAAAGCCCCCTCTGTGGCTATCCTCAAGTGCGACTGCAAGGGTCCCGGGATCTGCGGCGGAACGCACCGGGACCCTATGTACTGAGCTTCCACACGACCCTGGGGAGACACAATATTTGTGACTTCTGCGGTCACGGCATACGTTTCATTCCAAGAAAGATCCTTATCATTATTAGTGTAGTGATACCTGCCTCAAACGCCACAGGACGTCAACAAGTTTCTGTACCGCTGTGAAAGTTTGTTACTAGCGGTGGTCACTTACGTAACCAATTGAAATAATTGTAAAGAATATACTAACTTGAATCGGCGGGAGAAAGCGGCGGGTTGATGGTGTCCGGGCTCATGCAGTCGGAGGGCGAGGGCGAGCGCTCGCGTTTGGTGACGGGCGCCTGCAGGCCCAGCGTGAGGCCCGTGCCCGGCCCGAACGTGGAGTTGCCGAGGTGGCCACCGCCCAGCCCATCGCCGGGCATGCCATTCTCCGACAGGAACTCGTCTAGGTCCACGTACTGAAAAAATCCAACGTCACGTGTCACATATCGCACCCTCACCCGTTCACACCGCCTCACGGCGGCGCCGGGACGCCTCGTTCGGTGCCAACAAACAATGAGTGTTCATCGAGCATTACGCATACAAGGGAGAAATGCAACAGCAGTATTATTTTTAAAAGGATAATCAGTTCGCAGCATGGCGTTTCAATCGCTAATCGCATATCAACTACATACGAATACATAAAACTAACATCAAAGGAAGCACAGCAGGACAAGAGTCGGCTGTACAAGACACAAAGGGTGGTCTTGTTAACAGCCAATCTATTACCTAGTGCGCGCAGCCACTATCGAGCAGCCGGTAAGACGGACACGACACGCAACACGCAATAGGTAATAAAGTTTGTTGTAATACTGACTTGTTGTACCTTGAGATCGGGGTCGTAGGGCAGAGATTTGTCCCAGAGGTTGGGACCGAGGAAGGCAGCCTGCGCCTCCCACAGCTCGGTGTCATCTTTCTTGTCTTCTAGAGTGTCCTTAGCGTTGACCGACTTGCCTGTAACAAGAAGAGCGTGTGCCGTGTGACTGCAAGGCCGCGGCGGCGCGCGCCGTCGTGTGCCCGACAACAGCGAGCGCCGCCGCCGGCCGCACAGCTACATATACGGTGGGCGCGAAAACCCCGCTAACACTAACGGCAGTTCCATGATCTCACAATGCAGGGGTCATGGCAAACGCAGAGGTTTGACAACAAACGAATGTGTACGTGCCTTGGAGGGGTCGGAAACGCACGCTACATCTATAAGTAATTGTACATTTAACGATTCACGTACATACGAACATTCGCAGAGCTGAAACTCGCTTAGACATTTAATTATATAGTCGCAATAGCCAGATAGCGTCATAGACAAGAGGTAATAATGTACTTTAAAATATACGAACAAAAAAAAGAAAAAAGATTGCATGAACATGCAATCAATTTTTATCAGTCGGAAGTGACCGTGGCTGGAAAATGAATATATCAAAATACCCGTAAAATCAGTTTCACTTGATTTTTTACTATTTTAGTCTTATTAACAAAATACCATGTGATTGTCGTAAAATATCCTTTGCGGTGCCACATTGAAAATCTTAATATCAATTTAAATGTCATTGTGAGATTTCTACTTCTATGTTTAACTACAAAGTAGTAAGTTACGTAAATCTAGAAAAGATTACGATACAAAGAACGAAGTCTTGATGTGTCCACTTCTCGAAACTTTACACCGGTATAGCAATAATCATATTACAACTACAGTAAAACTAACTCTAAGCAGTTAGGATTACTAAAGCATCTGAACATGGACGCGATAAATTGTATACAATGCTTTTACTGTTATCTTAGTATACTCTGAACATCGAAAGATACTTATAAAATCAAATAAAATTTCCAGGTCATTTTGAGGTCAATTTTATGTCAATAATTTGATGAGTTACTGAAAAGTGAAGAAGTTTTTACGTGGTTAGTATAGATCTGTGCAAATAACTATCATTTGAATGCAGAGTAGTGTTAACTATTTTAACAGGAGTATTCCTAAAAATTATTACACGTTAGAAACGAGAACGTGTAAGTAATTGTTGTGCATATAATTGTACATTATGTACAGCGCTATGATGGACGCTAGAGTGAATAGTTTAGTGTGGCGGGAGGTCGGTAGGGGGGTTAGTTGTTCACGTGGCTGTTGTGGAGGGTGACGGAGTGGGGGCGATGGTGCGGGCTTCTCACGCGGCTTAACACGCGTCATCTCTAACGGCAACGTGACCTCACTCGCACTTTTGGTACTTTTAATTAAATTTTTGTACCAGACAAGTGAGTGCAGATTGTTTGTTAAATAACCAATTGAAGAGAGCGACTTTGGGCGATAATTAAAAACACTTATGGTATTTGTTTTTTGTTTGTTACTGTTTTAAATATCCCCTTCGAAATATTAGTAGCTTAATATTTAATTTATATTATGCATAAGATTGAAATATTATTTATAAGTGACAATATTATATAGAACTACCTCTACTTACAAATGAATAATGAATGTGAATGGAAAATCTAATGATGACTTTATGTATGATATTAGTGTGTTTTATTAATGTTATAACAAACGGAACTAAATTGAATTTTGTTTTGTCTAAAAAAACAAATAATTTTACGTACTATATATATCAAATTGCGTATGGGACTATGGTTTTTTGTTAAAACTATTGACGGCAGGTGTTGAAAACAACCTAAAGTTTCCTTTCAAATATCAACATTTACATGCTTTTGCACACGACTTCCTACCCAAGAAATTAAAAAGAATTGAAGTAGCCTATGTATTCTGTCATACTATGCTTTATATCTGTGAAACAAACATTCAACCATCCAAAGTTTTAAATTTATATTAGTATGATAATTTTGTAGAAAAAGTTACATTCAAGTCCGATTTAAATATGACAATAATCAACTGAAAATTAAAACTTTATGGTACACTGAATTTATATGACCACAATCTGTAAAATCGATTATAGATAAAGTAAATTAATAGTTGCTATAATTTCCTTGTTGAAAAAGTGGTATAAACTATAATGTGGGAGGTAAGTTGGTAGATGCGGAAGTGGGAAGTAACCTAGTTGTTACGTGCACCGCCACGCTTTCCTACGTTCCGCGCCGCGACACGCACGCCTCTATTGCACAACTAACAACATAAGAGTTTTCCTCCAACAACCAACATTCTAATCACTCATTAATTCATTACGCTATGGAAAAATATTTATCGACGCTCCGAGCAAGCGTGAACGCGTAGCAGGTTAACCGATTTTAAAAAGCAGACTTCAACTCGCCTGCTTGGTTTTTATTGATACTTCAGAACTCCGCTATTCGTGCACCAGTTTTAATAATTGGTTCTTAATTTCAAACCTAGCATTATCATGTCGTATCTAATAAGTGTCATCAAGATCTGTATGTAAAAGTATAAATTTACGCCATTAACGCTTTTTGTTAAAACTGTCGTTTAGGATAAAAATATTATGTGGGAGGCCGGAAAATCTATAACTGTTGAATGGGAATTCCATATTAGTCACTATACCGTCACATCCTGGAGGTTCGATTGCAATTATTGTTCAATATTTGTAGACTGTTTATTATAATGGTCGCTAAGGTTGATAATAGAATCGATATTAAGAGAAAACCACTCTTATTTAAAATGCTCTGAATTAAACACGATTTCTGATATAAATTGCAGGGCTGTTGTAAGATCGAGTGAATCCAGCGACGGATTGGGACATATGCATTGTAAGGTACAAAATAAAGGTAATGGTACACAGTTGTGGGATGCAAGTGGGGCGGTCGGTTGTGCCGGCTGAGTCGATTGTGTCG